CACTGGCGGCAGGTTAACCCCTTGCACAACGCTGTCCCCTCTCAATATTTAAAAATTAACAGTACATTTCTAGTATATTTTAGTGAGAAAAATGCATTATGTGAATATGAATCCCCTTAACTGAAATATATAGAATAATGAGAGAACTTTGAGAATTTTGATGCAAAACTTTTTGAAATACATGCATATGAGGACTCCTTAAAAAGTTTATGGAAACGCTTAGGAAAAAATACAGATTTTGAAATTTACACAAAAGTAAGCTTTTAATTCCATTTTCTATGAACTTTTTGAAGTACCCTCATACATATTCATGTAACCCAGCACCTCAGGGCAGAGTTCCCATTTTCTTGTGGGTTTTTCAAGACCGGGCTGGCTATGAATGAAGACGTTGATAATGGTGAGTGAGCTTGCCAAATTAATCCACAGCCATGAATATCACACTTTTATCTTTTTAAGAGAGAAACAGATGGCCTATTTATGATGGATTTAATGGTCTATATAGGAAAAGTTGGTTTTTATACTAATCCATCTGGGAAAATGATCACAGTAGGATTGCAGATTTTTATCAAAGGCAAAAATTTGCTCCTTCTCTCAGTACCTACTCCTTTCATTCACAAGCTCGGGATACGGGCATCTGTTGATGTTCTGTGTTGACTGTGGGATCCCCGTTTGACTGAGCCACAGCTTACATGTGGAGTAGGTGGGGTCTCCAACAACCACTTCTAGTTCCGAGGGAAACAGCTGCGTCATAAACTACCTTCCCCCGGAAAGAGGAATGCAGAGCTGTCCCTCCATGTAAGGGAGGTCTTGGGTTCAGGTCAGGGGAAGGAGAGACTTGTGTGTCTTGGGAACTCTGTGAGGAGCCAGAGGAAGGTGTTCTGGAAGAAATACAACTCCTCCCGTCAGTCTGTCAACACTGAACAGTGACTATTTCACAGTTGCATGTTAGTTCATCTCTAGTAACTTGTGTACAGAACCAGCCCAGGTGCGAGTGACTGAGAAACACTGATTGCTGGCAAGGGGAATCTGAGACTTTCTAAAACAACTGAATTAACCAGCGGACCTTCTTCATTTGAATTTCCTAAAGTTCAACACAGAACACCAGGGGTAGGCATTCGGCCCAGCAGTTAAGATGCCTGTGTCCTATATCAAAGTACCTGGGTTCAATTCCCAGCTCTGACTCCTGCCTCTACCTTCCTGCTAATGTGCGCCCCGGGAGACAGCAGTAATGATACAAATAGTTAGACCCCTTTATGCACATGGGAAACTGGGATTGAGCTCTGGGTTCCAACCCCAGTTGTGGGCATTTAGGGAATGAACCAGAAGATAGGAGTGTTCTATATATGTTTCTCAAAAAATAATTATGCTTTTAAAGCTTTATATATTTTTCAATTTATTTTAAAGGCAGAGTTACAGAGAAAGAAGAGACATCTTCCATCTGCTGGTTCACTTCCCAAATGGCTGCAGTGCAGTACCATGCAAGGCTGAAGCCAGAAGCCCAGTGCTTCTTCTGGGTCTCCCATGTGGGTGCAGGGGCCCAAGCACCTGGGCCATCTTCCACTTTCCCAGGTGCATTAGCAGGGAGCTGGATTGGAAGTGGGACAGCTGGGACTTGAACTGGTGTCCATGTGGGATGCCAGGAGTGCAGACAGCAGCCCAACCCACTATGCCACAGTGCCAGCCCCTCTCAAATTATTTTTTAGGGGTTGACGCTGTGGTGTAGCAGGTAAAGCCACTGCCTGCAGTGCCGGCATCCCATGTGGGTGCCAGTTCGAGTCCCAGCTGCTCCACTTCAGCCAGCTCTCTGCTGTGGCCTGGGAAAGCAGTAGAAGATGGTCCAGGTCCTTGGGCTCCTGCACCCATGTGGGAGACCTGGAGGAGGCTCCTGGTTCCTAGCTTTAGATCGGCACAGCACCGGCCATCTGGGGAGTGAACCAGCAGATGAAAGACCTCTCCCCGTCTCTCTCCCTTCTCTGTGTAACTCTGACTTTCAAGTAAATAAAGAAATCTTTAAAAAATCATTTTTTAAAAAAAGAATACAAGATGTATAAAACAGAAAGAAGAGGCCAGGCTTGGTCGTGGTGAGGGAATGAAGAAGTCAGTGCTTCAACACCTAATCGTGTATTTTTTAAAAATTTACTTATTTGAAAGAGTTACAGAGAGAGTGAGAGAGACACACAGAGAGGGAGATTGATCTTCCATCCAGTGGTTCACTCCCCAGATGGTCACAACAGCCAGGGCTGGCCCGAGTCAAACCCAGGAGCCAGGAGTTTCATGCAGGTCTCCCACATGGGTGCAGGGGTCCAAATACTTAGGCCATGGTCCACTGCTTTCCTAAATGCATTAGCAAGGAGCTGTGTCAGAAGTGGAGCATCCAGGACTTGAACCGGTGCCTATATGGGATGCTGGCATTGCAGGCAGTAGCTTTACCCACTATACCACAGCGTCAACCCCCCTAATTGCATTTTTTTGTTCTAAGTCAACTCTGCATACCCCACAGCATTTTGTCCAGTGCTTGTCTTATAACTGGTCACCCATAAACATTTGTCAAATTAGTGAAAAGGAGAGGAAATCCCAGTCCCAACCTGTATCACTCTTTGGTGCCAAGCCTCCCTCCCCCTCCTCATTGCTAATGTCAACATGAAAACCCAAAAGCTGTGTGTGCACTGTTAAGGTCCACTCAAGGCTTGTGTCAGGGCCAAGAGTGAGCTTATTACAACCACCACCAGGGCTGCATCAGTTTGCTCCGGCTGCTGTAACAGTACTACAGACTGGGGGCTTCAGTGACAGTGATTTATTTCCCCCCAGCTTCAGCTGGGGCTCGGAGATCAAGGTTGATGAGCGGGGTGTTTGTCCCAAGGCCTTCTTGGGTTGCAGATAGTACCTTTCCTCTGTGTGTCTATGTCCTGCACCCCTCTTCTTAGAAGGTCACAGTGATACTGGAGTAGGCCCTGTCCTGATGACTTCCTATTTGAAGGTCCTTTCATCGGGGCCCACATGTGGTGCAGCCGGTGGTGGCCACCTAGGACACCGGCATCCCATGTGAGCACTGGTTTGTGTCCTGGCTGCTCCACTGCTGATTCAGCTCCCTGCTGGTGATCTGAGAGGGCAGCAGAGGATGGCCCAAGTGCCTGGGCACCTGCCGCCCACATGGGAGACCCAGAGGCGGCTCTTGGCTTTGGCCCAGCACTGGATGTTGCGGCCATCTGGGGAGTGAGCTAGCAGATGGAGGATCTGTCTCTCTCACCCTCTTCATATAACTGACTTTAAAAATAAATTTTTTTAAAAGTTCATGTAAAAAGAAAAAATAAAAATTCCTTTCATCACATATAGGCACATTCTGAGTCCTGAGTGCTTAGACTTGAACGAATATACAACAGCCAACAAGAGTAAGGGCATCAGCCCTTAGTGTATTTACCTCATATGCTGGATTGTTCGTCTACCTGGAGGTTGCAGAAGAAGCAAAGTCCTCACCATGGGTTTCATGTTTATGCCTTTTACTTTGTTTTACATTTTAGGTCCTCCTGGCCCCAGGGGTCCAAAAGGTGACCGAGGATCCCAGGGACCCCCTGGTCCAACTGGCAACAAAGGACAGAAAGGAGAGAAGGGGGAGCCTGGCCCGCCAGGCCCTGCCGGCGAAAGAGGCCCCCTTGGACCCGTCGGCCCCCCTGGAGAGCGCGGCAGCAAGGGCTCCAAAGGCTCCCAGGGCCCCAAAGGCTCCCGCGGGTCCCCTGGCAAGCCTGGCCCTCAGGGCCCCAGTGGGGATCCAGGCCCCCCAGGCCCACCAGGCAAGGACGGGCTCCCTGGGCCCCAGGGCCCCCCCGGCTTCCAAGGACTTCAGGGCACTGTGGGGGAGCCTGGGGTGCCTGGACCCCGGGGGTTGCCAGGCTTGCCAGGGGTACCAGGCATGCCGGGCCCCAAGGGTCCCCCCGGCCCCCCAGGCCCATCAGGGGCAGTGGCGCCACTGGCCCTGCAGAACGAGCCAACTTCAGCACCAGAGGTCAATGGTAAGTCTGAACCCACCCTGGAACTGGGGCCAAGGCTGAGTGTGTGCTCATGGCTGGCCCAGCCCCCAGCATGTGCCCTCCCCATTTGAGCTGGCAGTGAGAACATCACGGGGGTGGCATGCAGCCCCCCTGCTGCGTAATAGGCCTCCATCCCAGGGGAGGCAGGTGTTGGGGGCGAAGGTGTCACTCAGGCCTGTGTTTCCTTCCAAGCAGGACTGGGCTCTCACGTGCTTACATAGTTAGGAGTTGGGCCCTCAAGACAACCGGACCTGAAACCATACCTTGGTGACAGCCTGTGGCTCCCACCCCTGACCTGGCCTGTTTTACACTCTTCACCCTGGGTCAGGCCATTCCCTAGTGCCCTTCATCAGCATGAGGTGCAGCTTTGTTACCGAAGCCCAGATGTTAGTCGTTTGAGATGGTGTCATGGTCATGGAGCCTTCTGGTCCTTGGTTAAGCCTTCTGCAAAACTCTGGTCAGCAACCACGCCTGTTTCCCTCTCCTTTGATCAACCCTGATTGCACATGATTTCCTTCCTTGAGACTCCAGTCACCTTTGTTGTTCTGCTGGCCCAGTTTAGGTTTTGGGTTCTCCTGTCAAGTTCATTGTTCCATAGGATTCCACATTGACACTGCCCATCTGTGCCTGCCCTGTTTGCTGCTGTTATTTCTGTCATTGTAAACACTCATCCAGATGCAGAGACACAAGACCCAATCATGGAGGTTTTCCAGATTATGTGGTTGTCACTGCTGTGTGCTCCACGGTCCCCTCCTGGGTTAGTCTGCACCAGGCACATCCATGGCCATTAGCCACGAGCTCCGTGTGGGCTGCTCCTGGCCTGGGAGCAGTGCAGGGCCCTGGCTTTGGCCTCGGCAGCCCAGCTGAAGAAAGGCAGAGTGTTCTCTGTTTGGGTTTTGTTTTTAATCAGTGTCTTCAACCTCTGCATTCCTAGGCTGTCCACCCCACTGGAAGAACTTCACAGACAAATGCTACTATTTTTCAGTAGAGAAAGACATTTTTGAGGATGCAAAACTTTTCTGTGAAGACAAGTCTTCACATCTCATTTTCATCAACACGAGAGAGGAGCAGGTACGTCTGCTGCATAGTTGGTTGGGAAAGTTGTAATTTAAGGATAGTTTACATCTGGAAATTGCACACCTGCTGGGGCTTCACAGGTACCAAGAATTCACCGTCGCATCCACAGAGAAGACTGCACTGTGGAGAGCCGGGCTTCCTGCAGCGATTGTTGCCCCCTGGGAGATCCACTTCCCACGGCAGTTACTGTCGTCATGCTGAGAAGTCTGCGAGCAGCCACCAGGCACCTGTGCAGAGAGAGAGAGACATGCGCACTGTAGGGGTGGAGTGTGGTGGGTGCAAGGGACAAAAAGTGTGGCCCCCGAGGGGTTATGAAGAACAAAGAAGGCTAAGGGGGCACAGGCCACATGCGTTAATGACAACGACCACTCATCCATCCCCTCCTGTGTGCCGGACACTGTAACCCACACAACAACTCTAGAGCATAGGTATTATCCCCATCCTACAGATAAGAAAACCGAGACCCAGCAAGGGATGGTTAGTCAATGCGGAGCTGACACTGAAACCGAGGTCCCTGTAGCAACAGTGCCCATGTTCTTCCTCTGGTGTCACCCTGTCGCAGTGGCCTCCTTTTTCTTAAGCAACTCCAGACACGACCCTGAGAACAGATGTTTCCCATAGGAGCTGACCGAGAATAAGCAAGTGAAGGCAGTGGCCAGGAGCCTGGGCTTTGGGATCTACAGACCTGCCCAGCCATCTGTCACCTGTGGTGGGGAAGCCCAGAGACAGACTGTGTGCATCACCCCGCACAGGGGAGCCGGCCCTGAGAAAGCACTCAGCAGTCCCGTGGCTGTTCCTTGTATGAAGGCACAGGAGAGATGCTGAAGGGGAGTGCTGCCCGGGGAACTCACTGAGTTATCGTGGGGGATTGAGGGGAAGAGCATCACCCTAACCTCACTTGTAAACTTGTGAGAGGGGAAAAAAAAAAAAAAACAAAGCTCCTGAAACAGTTCCAAACACAACAAGTGTAGTAGCAAAGACGACAGCAAAAGCTGCAAATAGGTCTGACAAACATCCTCTGTCAAGTCGTCCTTTTTCCCATTTAGAAAAGCCCCTGAGGAGTGGGCATTTGGCCTGGGTTTCAGGTTCCAGCTTGCTGCTAATGTGCACCCTGGGAGATAGCAGGTCATGGCTCAAGTAACTGGGTCCCTGCACACATGTGGGAGACCTAGATGGACGTAGGGGCTCCTGACTTTGGCCCGGCCTGGCTGTTGCAGATATCTAAGGAGTAAACCAGAAGACAGAATGCTCGCACTCTCTCTCTCCCTCTCTGCCTTTCAAATAAAAATAGTTTAAGTCTCTGAAGATATCTATCCCAAAAAAGAGTAATGTGCTGTCCCGGATTTATCTTGCAGCAATGGATAAAAAAACAGATAGTGGGGAGAGATAGCCACTGGATTGGTCTCACAGACTCAGAGCATGAGAACGAATGGAAGTGGCTCGATGGGACAACTCCGGACTACACGTGAGTACTCAGAACCCTCCCGATGGGTGGGCAGACGCTCACTGTTCCCCACCTCCTGGCGCGCTCCCTACAGCTTCTTCCTCGATGACATCCTACCCTGGCCACTTGTGTCAGCTGCAGGCCCCGGGTGCCCACTGTGTGTTGTGGGACAGGAAACTGGGATGCCATCAAGTAGGGTTTCCTGTTTTCTTTTCATGGAGTATATTTTTTCTTCCTTGTCTAAGAAAGAAACAAGACACTCATAAAACCAGATGGATCTGTGAAAATACACAACAAACTGTTCCACATGAACAGAATTAAAAAAAAAAACACCCCTGAGTAACCTTCAGTTTGCCAGAGGCAGAGAAGCCAGGCCCTGCAGAGGCTCCCCAGGTGCAAGAGCATCAAGGCATGGAATGCACCCGCCAGGTGGAGGACAGGGTCCGTCGGGGGCTGCAGTCCTGGGACAGGGGAAATGAGGTGTTTCACGGGGAATGGAGGCACAGACTCATACCAGTGAAGGAGCAGGATCAGAGTTGGTGGGGAGGCCACACATGTCTCTGCATGAGCGTGTAGATAGACAGGCTCTTCTGCACCTTTTTAAAAAATAGTGAATATGAACTTTATTTGAGAAACAATGAGAGTAGCAGGAACCCGAGCCATCACCTGCTGCCTCCCACAGTGTGCATGAGCAAGAAGCTGGCATCAGGAGTGGAGCTAGGATTCAAACCCAGGTACTCTGATACGGGATGTGGGCATCCTATTTAGCATCTTAACCACTAGGCCAAAAGCCTGGCCCCCTGGCTTTGTATTTTTAAATCCTCCACATGAAGAACATGATTAGAGAATGGAGGCAGAAAACAGAATAGGGCTGTCTCTTTAAGAGAGGAAGAGGGGGAAGGGAGGGGTAGCCACATGTGGTGCTGGAACGCTGGGAGACTGAAGATGAGCCCCACCCTGCCGTGAGGGCGAGCAGACCCCTAGCTGCTGCCTGGCTGGACACCCTGGCTCTCAGGTGTACACCTGATGTACCGAGGAAAGTGCCCTGCCTGGCAGGGATGCACTTCGGAGGTGTGAGCCCGCATGGGAGCTGGCTTCTGGAGCAGAAGGAGCAGGTTGGAGGTGGGGACAGGAGGCAGAAATGACTCAAGGCAGAGACAAATCTGTTTGGACAGTTGAGAGTGCCAGAACCTCTTTTGTAAGGTAGCTGGGGGAAGCCGAAAAACAAAAATCCACCTCCTCCACTTTCTCACCACCATAGAAAGGGTCTGGGTTAGACTCACTGAGAAATTCCAGCTGAAGCCTTCCTCCAAGAAAACCCTGGATGGGCCCATATGGAATGGATTGAGCTGGAACATTAATGTCTATGCCAGCTCTCCCAGGGTGAAACCTCCCTCCTCGTCCCTGGCTCCAGCAAGAATTATGTGATTTAGGAGGACAGCACCAGTGTGGGTACCTCAGCCCCGGGAAGGATTACATCACCAGACACCTGTCTGGGGCTGGTCCCCAGACACAGCCACCTTCGAGCTTCCTGAAAACTTCAGCTCCTGCACCCCAGCCACAGTTCAGTTCAGAGTGCCTCTCAGTTTCCACCCACAGGAACACATATCCATGGAAAAATCCCCGGGATCAGATTTTGAAAGCATGAATAATTTAGGCAGACATCGTATGAGGTCTCAATAACTGAAGGCTAACTTAAAGTGACATGTAATAATAAACACTGCACAAAGCAGAGAGAGCCAGTGCGGTGGAGGGGCAGAGCATGGGCTCTGGCATCAGCGAGATCTGGGCTCCCAGAACTCCCAACACTCAGAGCTACAAGCCTCCCGTGCAAGGTACACAACCATGCACATCTCCTTGTCCCACACAGGACCTGAACTGTACAAAAGCACCCATGCCAGTATTCAGAAAAGTAAATCATATATATGAAGGGTCTTTGGAAAGTTCATGGAAAATATGTATTATGAAAAAAAATCATGCATAAGCTTCTAATTTTTCTGCACCAGAATAAATTTATCATTTAATTCCATTTTTCCACCAACTTCTTGAAGTACCCTCATATATAAAGCATTTGATACAGGAGTTGGCACATGGGAAGTGCTTAAGAGATGTTACCTGCTAGTACTGATATATTTGATTATTGTCATAATCATAATTACTAGTCCATAATGAAAGAATAAGACTAGCTAGAATTTATGTATTTTTACAGTATCCTGATTGAGATACCACACTCAGTATCTCAGCCATGTCTCAATAGGTTTGTGGCAAAAGACAAAAGTATTTCACTGTCCTGGGAGTGGGGACCGGGCTTAGGCTCTCGGGGGTCTCTGCCCAATACTTCTGCAGCCACTCAAACTCACCCTCACCTCCCAGTCTTTGCATGGTAGCGCCATGCATTGGCCATCCCCCTCCCTTTCCCCTGCCACCTGCCATGATTTTGGGCCCTGAAGATCATGAGAGACTATCATGAACAATTACACACCGAAAAACCAGACCATATAGAAGAATGGATAAATTCCTGGAAATACACAAGCTACCAAAACTGACCCAAGAATAAACCCTGAACAAACCAGTAACAAGTAAGGAGGCAGAAGCAGTATCAAAAATTTTCCAACAAAGAAAAGCCTGGGACCAGATGGCCTCATGGCTGAATTCTGCTAAACATTTAAAGAAAAATGAATACCAATTCTTCTTAAACTCTTCCAAAAAATACAGGGGTTGACAGCCCTGGCACCAACTCACGCCTTGCTGGGCTACAGGAGAACTAAGTGTCACAGCTTTCCTCTTACCCTTTGGATGTGGCTCAAGGTTCCTGTGACTGAGAAGAGACAGGGATGAGAAGGCTCTCTCCTCATCCTCTCGGGCTTGCTCTGCTTTTTATGCTGAGACCTGGTGGAGAAAGACAATGCTGTAATAAACAGACACAAAGTAATGGTGAATTGAGATAGATGCCAGAGGCGTAAGGCACACACAGACCTCAACTCTGATTTATTTTCCGTAAAACATACAGCCTGGCTCACTGAATCTTACGGCCATTTCTGCAGTGATATAGAGCAGGACTAGACAGGGAAAAGGAATTCAGGAGATGCAACCTGTGATGGCTCAGGACAGTGCTCAGGTCAGTTCCCAGGTGCCGTGGGTCCACACCCCACTCAGTTTCAAAAGATGTAGCTAGTCAACATGGCATATGCTATTGTATTAGTCCATTTTTTATTACTATCATGAATCCCTGAGGCTGGTTAACTTTATAAAAAAAGTTGTTAGCTCACGATTCTGAAGTTTCAAGGGCACAGCATCAGCTGGCTTCAGTGTAACCCACGCGGCGGATGGAGTCACAGCGGCAGACGCACAGGTGCGAGGAAGGGCTCACGTCAAAGACAGGAAGCCAAGAGGAAGAATTTGGAAGGGGTTTGCTCTCAAGTGAACTAACTGGGGGTCCTCTGAAAACTAAATTCCATCTGCAGGCAGGACCTCCCTATAAGCACCGCCTCTTAAAGGACCAACACGGCCATACAGAGGACCAAGCCTCCAGCACATGACTCCTTGAGGGATAAACCACATCCAAACTGAGCACCAATCAAGGACCTAGTTTTTAAAAGTTACCCATCAGCAAATCTCAGCATGTAAGAGAAGTAATAACCCTACAATGCTTTCCAAGAAACAACAGCTGGACACACACACACATATTACCTTCCTTTTTGCATTTCACCACAGACATGCTAAAATGTTATTCACCAGCACCAGCACCCTGACTGGAGATTGGATTCCACTTGCCCAGTTCTGTGATAAGACTCAGTGAATGACTGTGGCGTGCACTGTGAACCAGGCTCTGTGCTGGCCTGCAGGGCAGCGGCTTGCTCCTTGTACCCATGTGGAAAAGGCTGAATTCTAGGACCAGGTCAGAAGCAAGAGGACATCCCAGGTGTATACACGGACAGAGTAAACAGCAGCGTTTTTAAGATTCCTACCTTCTCTTGGCCAGCACTGCAGCTCAGTAGGCTAATCCTCCGCCTAGCGGCACCTGCACACCAGGTTCTAGTCCCGGTCAGGGTGCCGGATTCTGTCCCGGCTGCTCCTCTTCCTGTCCACCTCTCTGCTGTGGCCCGGGAAGGCAGTGGAGGAGCACCTGGCTCCTGCCATCGGATCAGCACAGCGTGCCGGCTGCAGCGCGCCGGCCACAGCGGCCATTGGAGGGTGAACCAATGGCAAAGGAAGACCTTTCTCTCTGTGTCTCTCTCTCTGTCTCTCTCTCACTGTCCACTCTGCCTGTAAAAAAAAAAAAATTCCTACCTTCTCTTAATAACTGATGGAACAAGTAGTGAGAAAACCCAACGATGATATAGTTGACCCTATCAGCTAACTTGGTGTTTATGAGACCCTTCAGCCAACAATGGCCAGCACACAGGCTTTTCAAATGCAACTGGTGCTGTATCAAGATATACTCACTATGTGCTGGGCCATAAAACTAGTCAATAAACTTGAGAGAACTGGGATTAGATGTTAGAGTATGCCCTCTGAGTTAGAAATTGACAACGGGTATCTGTGAAATCTCAAATACTTGGAAATTCAAGGACTCGTGGATCAAAGAGGAAATCTGAAAGCATTTAAAGGAAATGTAAACACAACATAACAAAATTTGCAAGGTGGAGCTAAAATGGTGTTTACAGGGTCACTGACAGCTTTAAAATGGATATATTAGAAATGTTTCTAAAGGTTGAAAATCAATTGCTCCAAGCTTCTACTTCACAAGGGTAGAAAAAGAACAGGAAATTAATGCCTGAGCAAGTGGAAGGGAAGAAATAATAAAGACCAGAAAGCAATGAAATAGAAAGCAGATAAACAACACAGAGGATCAGTTAATCCAGGGGCCCAACAGAGCTGATCTTTCTACGCTGGTGGGAATCAACGCAGATGTGTCATCTGGCAGACTGTCACTGGTGACAGACTACCCACACCGGGCAGATTCAGATACACATGGGATGCAGGCTCTGCCCACCTGCTCACGGCACAACTCTGAAACAGAAGTTTTTTGTTTTTTCAGTTCAAGAGAGCACATGTTTCCCTCCACTGGTCACTCCACAAATGCCCACAATGACTGGGTCAGGCTGAAGCTAGGAGCCAGGGACTTAATCCAGAAATCCCGCCTGGGTGGTGGGGACCCAACTACTTGAGCCACCACCTACGACCTGTCATGTCTGTACAGGCAGGAAGCTGGAATCAGGAGCTGGAACTGGGAAGTGAACCCAGGTGTTCCAATATGTGGGCACCTTAATCACCAGGCCAGACATCTGCCCCTAAGGTAGCTTTTCAAGCCTCTCTTGACCTTAGGTCATCAAAGATGTGATTCCCAGCACACCTTTGAATCTCCCCCATTCCTCTTGGCCACAGGACTCAGCTGGTGGGAACATGCTGGCAGGTTATGAGCCGCGGCTTGCATCTGTACGTTGCAAAGGGAAAGCCCAGGTTACGTTTCTGCCAGGCAGATTTCTTGCTGTGATGCTGCATCCTGGGATTGAAGAGCCACAGCATGGTAGGGCCAGAAGAGGACCTACAGCGTCCTCTCATCCATGAGTCACCCACTTGAGGTTGCAGCCAGAGGGGCGCTGACTCAGGCCGCAGGACAGGCCTCTTCCCTAGTAGTGGGAGAAAATTCTGCTGCAACAAAACACTTCCCAGTGCTCCGATTTTCCCACTTGGAGGCCAGGTCCTTACCGGCATGAGTTTCTTAGCCAGGCGGCCTCAGTTTTGTGGTTGATGAGACAGTAATGAGTGAGGTTGAAAGGCTGGGTTCCAAGAGTGAGAGCATGTGCTCTGTCTCCATTAGGGGGACCCCCCCAAGTCCTGCAGGGGTGCCACACCCACTCCAGCTCCCTGGCGCAGGCAGCTGGAGCATTTCTGTGGTTCCTGGTGTACAGTATGATCACCCAAGTACATGTGTGTTTACCCCATCACTTCCATGATGTATGCATTACGAGATTCAGGGATTTTTCACTTACACTTCAGCCCTTCTTTCTGGAGTCTGCTTGTGAATGTGGTTAAGGCACGTTTAAGCTGACATTTTTCTCCAAAATTTTATAAATACACACACACACATCTTCAAAAAGTTCATGGAAATATATATTATGGACAAACCCTGCATAAATTTCAAAAACTTTTGTACCAAAATAAACATTTTTAAAATTTATTTTCACTTTATATCCAAAAGGCAAACAGGGGCCAGTGCTGTGGCGTAGCAAGTAAAGCTGCTGCCTGCAGTGCTGGCATCCCATATGGGTGCCAGTTCAAGTCCCGGCTGTTCCACTTCCAATCCAGCTCCTTGCTAATGCTCCTGATAAAGCAGTGGAAAGATGGCCCAAGTCCTTGGGCCCCAGCACCTGTGTGGGAGACCTGGAAGAAGCTCCAGGTCCTGGCTTCGGACCAGTCCAGCTCCAGCCATTTCAGCCATTTGGGGAGTGAACCAGCAGATGGAAGACCTCTCTGCCTCTGCCTCTCTGTAACTCTGCCTTTCAAATAAATCTTTTAAAAATGTCTATTTAAAAAAAGGCAGACAAAAGTCTTCCACTTGCTGGTTCACTCTCCAAACACCCTCAACAGCCAGGGCAGGCTACACTGAAACCAGGAGCTGAGAACTCAATCTAGATGTCCCACATGGGTGGCAGGGGTCCACATACTTCCCATGATGCACGTGAGGAGGAAGCTGGGTCAGAAGCAGAGAAGCTCGGACTCCAACCAGGCATTGTGACATGACCATAGGCATCCCGAGCAGCAGCTCAACCACTGCACCCAACACACACCCGGAAACTCATTTCGTTTCATTTGTCCATGAACTTTGTGAAGTACCGTCATGTCGCTCCCCGTCTTCGTGGAGGAACGACACAAGACCCTGCGCTGTTCTTTCGTCTGCTCGGCCCTCCCCGGGTTTGCTGCTGGTTCTTCCCGGGTTGGCTACCGACCCTTCCACCTCCGTGGAAGGGCGGTTCCCCCTGCCACTTTCCCCACTTCCGCAGGGGAGCGGCACACCGCCGGCCGGCTCTCTCGGGGGCTGCACAGGTGTTCCTTCAGATGTTCCCCTTAGATGTTCCTGGTGCATGTTGTCTCTCTCCTCCTTTATAGTCCTCTTCCACCAATCCGAACTCGGCTGCCCACACGCCGAGTACGCTGCTCTCCTCCAATCAGGAGCAGGTCCTACAGTTTCTTGGTTGAACTGGAGGCAGCTGCGTAGAAGCTGTTACTCCCTTCTCAGCGCCATATTGTGGGAGAGCAGATGCATAGAATAAGCCTTAATTCCAGTAACTTAGTCTAGTCCGAGTTGCTCCCCACACCGTCATACAGCTTTTTTCTCTGATATGTTCTATTCTATTCAAACCATGTAGACTGAGTTCTGCCACACGTCACCCCCTGTGATCTGAAGCTTCTGAGACTCTGCAAGCTCAGCCTACAGGACCAAGTGCTCCGTACAGTGGCTTAGGGCCACCCCACCCCATCCTTGGTGGGCTCCAGCAGTCACACACACATCCCACTCACCCAGAACTGCTTTCTGCTTCTTCTCCTCCAGAAATCCCTCCACACTGTATCTGAAGAATTCAGTGACCTGCAGAAAGGTGACAAAGATTGCCACCTTTCTCTTTTTTTTTGACAGGCAGAGTTAGACAGTGAGAGAGAGAGAGAGAAAGGTCTTCCTTCCATTGGTTCACCCCCCAAATGGCCGCTATGGCCGGCACGCTGTGCTGATCCGAAGCCAGGTGCTTCTCCTGGTCTCCCATGCAGGTGCAGGGCCCAAACACCTGGGCCATCCTCCACTGCCTTCCCGGGCCACAGCAGAGGGCTGGACTGGAAGAGGAGCAACTGGGACAAAATCCGGCGCCCCAACCGGGACTAGAACCCGGTAT